CCCCCTGAGGGCAGGGCGGCGGTTCCGGCTCCTCAGCGTCACCAGGGAAGCAGAATAAAGTGTTTATCCGGTCACAGAACCCAGCTTTCCAAGTACATTTGGGATTCTGACCACTAACCCCACACATGAAAACTTTCGCATCTCCTGTCGGGGATACGAAGCCGTGTAAGAACTTGTCCTGCGTGAATTTCAAATTCATTGTGGAAGTGTTTCTATTTTACCTGGCCTGACCCCCCTGTGTTTATCAGGCTGCAGGTACTGCACCATGACAGCTGGTTTTCTTCCAGGAGTTTGATTATTCTTGTGTGTTCCTTACCGATATTGCTGCAAAACATCAGTATTTTATAGCTTCTGTGGTGTTTGTTTTTAGAACAAGGGATAAACTTTCCCGCAAACTGGTTACAAATGTTTATATCTCGGAAGAGAAACTGCTTTGCAATTTACAAGCTATTAGGGTGAAATATTGTTTTGTTTTCACTAGAGGTCTCTGTTTAGTCATAATGAAAAGAAGGAGCTTGTACTAAATGCCTGTCTTATTAGCTTGCAGATACCAAGGCTCTACCAAGCCTGAAAGAACTTCTGGAGTCTGTTCCAGACAAGGAGAAAAGGATTTGGGATTTGTTTAGTTGGATTTTATCATCTAAGGTCTTCACGATACAAAGTATTAAGAAACAGGAGGTAAGTTTTGAATCCTGAAAATCTTCATTACAATTTGTCTTTTCAGAATTTGTGTCTTTTAAGGCCAACTTGCACTTGAGAGACTATTTCTTCCTGCCAGAAGTTCAGAGCTTGACAGTTCAACGTGAATGCAACTTTTTCTGTACCTAGAGAGGATTGCTTGTTTTGTTTCTTAAAGAAAATTTTCAGGAACACTGGTTGGAAGAAATGGTTCCCTCTGTCAGCAGTTGATGATGGGCAGTGGTTGCAGTTGCTTACTCCCATTAGCTTAGCATGCACAGACACGTCCTAGGCCAAGCCAGTTCAGCTCAGGTGTCACAGAGCTCAGTCCTGCTTCTCACCAAGACAGACAACTCTGTACTTCTGCATACTGCCCCAGAAATGGGAAGGGTGAGACCCACTGAGGAACTTTGGCTTTTGTCTCCTGAGATCAGCTGGATATATCATCTTACAAGCCAAAGTAGCAATCGTGATACTGCCCTTACATCAGCAATTAATATAGAATCACAATTCAAAGTGGTTTTGTTTTGTTTTTCTGGGAAGAAGAATTAGGATTTAGTTGTGAGAGCAGGAAACTGTGAGAAGTTTTACTGTCTGCTTACTCCTTCTGAAGTGTGACAGGGTTGAACTGAATACAACAAGCAGAAGCAAAACACAAAGCAGCGTGCAGGAAGCAGAACTCCCAGCGAGTGATCTAACCCCAGAAACCAACAGTCACATCCCTTCCTGTTTTTCAGTACGAGAAGATCCAAGAGCTCACAGGGGTGTCTGGGGCCATGGTTCCTGCTCCAGACTACCTCTTTGAGGTCATCTACTGCGACCAGCTGAACAGCAGGTTTGCTGAGACCAGGGGAGAGCGGGACCTCATCTACGCCTTCCACGGGAGCCGCCTGGAGAACTTCCATTCCATCCTGCACCACGGCCTGCACTGCCACTTGAACAGGGTGAGGCTCCTGGTGCTGGCACCCTCTTCTGGGGATCACTTGCAGCTAGTGACACTTTTTAAAAATAGGCCCAAATTCCTTTAGGGGCACAAAATGTGGTGATGATTTTTTATGGCTGTTTTCACTGGAGTGGAGGCCGTTGTGGATGGGCGTGGGGGATTTTTCTAGTGCAGCCTAAGGGTAAAAAAAAACCAGAAGTGGCATGAAAACCTTTGTTTTCATCTCCAGTGTGATGATTCATCCTCTGCTGCTTTGTAAGGCAGTGTAATACCTCTGAAAATACTGACCCAAGAGCCCACAGCTGCGAAGTGCCTGTGCACAGAGGAGGATGGTGACCCAGGCAGTGCAGTCTCTCTGCCTCATGTCAAGTTTAGACCAGCTAAGTTTTAGGTGCTACTTGCAAATGGAGACTTCTTTAAATGGCCTGATTGAGGGAAACTTCCTGAAGGATCTACATTAATTATTGTAAAATATTATCATGTATCACATTATAAAGTATGGTTAATATATAAGGTTAAACTTTTTTGCACCAAGGGGCACTACAAAAGGATCCTCCTGAAAGATCTAGACCTCTTCCAATTTCAACAGAAAGGTAGTTGGGACTTGTGGCTTCTTGTGTCATCTGTAAAGCAACTTTGACACGGCATCAGCTTGACCTTCCACTGAACCTGCACTATGTTTTTTCCCCCCCACATTCTTTATGAGTAATAGCTTCTGAAGTACAGTGGAGTTACTTGCTCCCCACAGCTCCCTGACAGGAGGTTGGAGCCAGCTGGGGGTGGTCTCTTCTCCTAAGGAACAGGTGATAGAACAAGAGAAAACTGCCTCAAGTTGCTCCAGGGGAGGTTTAGGTTGGACATTAGGAACAATTTCTTCCCTGTGAGGTTTGCCCAGGGCTGTCCCAGGCTGCCCAGGGCAGTGGTGGAGTCCCCATCCCTGGAGGGGTTTCCAAGCCGTGGAGATGTGGTGTGAGGGACACGGGGCAGTGGTGGGGTAATGATTGAATTTGATGATCTTAAAGATCTTTTCCAACAAAAACAACTGTGGAATTCTACTGGATTAATAATTTTAGCCACGGCGGCAAATCTTCCAATTCCAAATTATTAAACCAGTTATACTGAGAGGAATTCACAGCTGAGAAGTGTTCCCCTCTTCCCTAGCAGAGGGTGGATGGGGAGGGAAGTGGAGCCTCCCTTGTTTGTGGGGGTTGGGCTGTTTGAATGGCAGCAGCCTCAATAAATCAGGGCAATGCCTCTAACAGCAGCACAGTCATGGTGATATAAAATACTTAGGCTGGCAAACTAAGCCCAAATCCGGGAAAGCATGAATCCATCCACACCAGGGGCTGTGCCAGCAGGCTAATTTGAGGGATGGGAGAGGGCAGCTGCCCCACCCAGAGGAAGCTGTGCCAGGACAAAAACAGTGCATGGCCCAGGCCCAGCACAGGTCAGAAAAGCCTTGCTTAGTTTACCTTCAGAAACAGAGCGGCCAGTCTGAGAGCAGCGAGCGCTGGGATGTTGTTTGCAGTTGGGATCTGAGGCTGTTTCTGCTCCCTTCCAGACATCCCTGTTTGGTGAAGGCACCTATCTCACCAGTGACCTGAGCCTGGCTCTCCTGTACAGCCCCCACAGCCTCGGCTGGCAGCAAAGTGCCTTGGGCTCTATCCTGAGCTGTGTAGCTGTTTGTGAGATCATCGACCACCCAGATGTGAAGTGTCAGGTGAAAAAGAAAGGTGAGTCTCCTGCAGTCAGGACTCCACCTCCTTCCTCTCACACGTGGCACTCCTGATGTTGTTCTACATGCTGTGATACAACCAGGGCAGTTATAAAGCAGTGGGTTGTGGGTGCCCTTCAGCAGAAACTTGCTGCAGGCTCCTCTTCTGATTGACCCCTCAACAAAGGCACAACAGCCTCTTTGCCTGTGAAACTTCTCTTAAAATAAATATATTTAAGAGGTAGAAAATATTTTGGCAGCATGATTAGTTTTCCCTGGTCTCAGTAGTATGATAAAATCATACTCCACAGTACCTGATCATTTCACTGGTGATGGTGGAGCAGAAGCACCACAAATAGACCAACACTGAGCTTTATTAGAGGTCTGGGAAGCCTCTGCTCAGATTGTCCTTCTCCTTTGCCTGTTTCCTGCTGCAGCAAGTCCTTTGCTTTATTTTTTTCCTCCCTGTTAATATCAGCAGCTCCTCAAGTGCTGTGTGGGAGAGTCACCTCCTCATCCCCCTGGTCTGGGCCACCATGCCATCCATACCAAGGATGGCTGGGAGTGGTGTAGCCTCAGGCAAACTTTCCAGTCTATTCTGGGAGGCTTAGGGATGCAGGGGAATACCAAGACTAGGTCTTTGGTTCTCTCACACCCACAAGAGGAGGGGGCTTGGTGGTGGTTTACTTTTTCACAATTCCTTGAAGTCACACATCCTTGTTTGCTCTTTCTTTAAAGACCTTGTTTTCCTCTTCCCATTCAGATTCAGCAGAAATAGACAGGAAAAGAGCAAGAGTGAGGAACAGTGAAGGGGGTGACGTGCCCCAGAAGTACTTTGTTGTCACAAACAATCAGCTTGTACGTGTTAAATACTTGCTGGTGTACGCACAGAAACAGCACAGGAGGTAAGAGTTCTGGGATCTAGAGTGAGGAGTGTGTTCTGACACCTAAACACATCTCATTTTTGAAGAGCAAGACTAGATACACTGCCCTGGCAGAGTTTGGTTTTGGCCTGTTTCCTCTGGAAGTGTCTCACACCAGCACGTTGCCTCTGTTTCCCTCTTTGAGGCTCCCAGGCTCAGCTAAATTGGCTTTTTTGCCAGACTTGTAAGTGCTTAGTAACTTCAAGAGCTCCAGTCATCTGTTTGTGGCAGGAAACAGACTGAAAGTCTGGTAAGTGCAGCTCTTGGAAACAGAGCAGTTTTAACTCTGCCTTATCTCTCTCCTAAGTGGCAGCATTCACCCAGCTAATCAACACGGGTGCCCAGAGCCAAACCACAGAGAGAGGTGTGAACAGAGGGAGAAAGGGCAGGATTGGGCACAGAGACTTGGGGAAAAGGGATTTGCAATCAACCTTTTTTTTAGTCCCAGGGATTATGGCACAACTTGCTGGTTTTATTGCATTCAAAATAAAACCAAGGATATTTTGTGCATCTCTGACAGAATCTGCTTTTCCCTTTTCAGGCCTTCTAGCCAAACTTCCTGGTTCTACACCCACCGTTTTGCCACGATGCTGCTGCTGTACCTGCTGCTGCTAATAGCCATAGGGGCCAGCAACTCACCAACCTTTATCTACTACTGGCACAGAATGTTTGACTCTGAGAGATGAATTGCCCGAGGTGATAAACTCTTTACTTTCACCACGTGCCTTAATAATAACCAAGCTGCAACAGCACTGCATCTGTTCCAGAGCTCTGCAAATAAAGGTGCCTGAGTTTTCCAGTTCTGTCATCAATATCTTGTCCTCGTGGCATCTATCCATCTATTTTTATGTCTGTGATTCATGAGGATGCCTAGTACAGCTGAAAAGGATCACGAGGGTGCAGCTTAGCAGGAACCAATTGTTTAAGGGTCCATGGGGAGAAAAAAGTGATTTAAAATTAATGAAAACTAAGTGTGGAAACACTCAGGTGTAACTATTCTCTGTCAAACTGAAATATGTTTGCACTAGTTGGAGGGTTTTTCTGTATGTCAAGCAAAGCAACCTGTAAGGAGGGAGTCTGGTCAGTTTGTTTTCTGAAACTGCATTTAGTGATGTTTAGCATGTACCAGTGCAGATGGGATCAATGCTGAAACTTTGACCAAGAATTTTTATATTTGAGCATAATGATTGTAAAAAACCAGCAAGAAATAAAACTGAAACATGAGAAGCTAAATGGTTTCTGGTATGTTCCCCACCCACAGAATGGTTTGGGTTGGAAGGGACCTTGAAGATCATCTAGTTCCAGCCCCCCTGCCATGGGCAGGGACACCTCCCACTACACCAGGTTGTACAAGGCCCAAACCAACCTGGTCTTGAACACATCCAGTGATGGAGCATCCACAACTTCCCTGAGTAACCTGTGCCAGTGTCTCACCACCCTCATAGTGAAGACTTCTTCCTTATATCTAATCTAAATCTCCCCTTCCAGTTTGAAGCCATTACCCCTCATCACTACAAGCCCTTGTAAAAAATCCCTCCCCAGCTTCCTTGTAGGCCCCCTTCAGATACTGGAAGGCCTCAAGAAGATGTTAAACAGCACCAGTCCCAGTACCAACCCCTGAGGAACACCACTCATCACTGGTCTCCACTTGGACACTGAGGTGTTGACTGCAGCTCTGAGTGCAACCATCCAGCCAAAACATCTACAAGGTTTGTGCTTTCAGCTGCAATCCATCTTTCCTTGGTTTGTGTACAGATCAGACAAACTTGGGCCCTTCAGCACCAAAACAGAATGAGGATTATTCCCAAACTGCCTTCCCCTCACATTCTCTGCACCAAGAAGAGGGAGGCTGAAGGGTTCCACTTATGCTGCCACCTGAGAGGCTCCTCTGGGTTGGGGCCACCTGGGTTTTGGGATCTGGTTCAACATTTTTGCCTATATTGAATTGTTCATAAAGGGAGGCTGAGAACACACACACTAGCATTAACATGCCAACTATTTCCTGAAACACTTGTAAGAAACAGAGGAAAATGGCAGCAGAACTGGTAGGGTTGTATTTGATGTCTGAGTGTTAAGCCACATTAAGTTCTCACAAAGAGGTGGAGTTTTCTGGGGGCAGGATGATGGCAGTTATGTCATAATTTGTGCTTTGGCTTAACACTGACGTGTAAAACCTCAGTAACTCATTCAGAGTCATCTTCTCTAATCTTGAACAGATTTGTTCTGGGGCTGTTGTTGGAAAATACATACAGCAAAACACTCTCACTACTGGAGAGAGTCCAGTGGCGGCTACCCAGATGCCGAGGGGCC